TAAATTCAATATCTCAAGATGCTCCCTCAGTAAAAATTAACAACTTTTAATTTGAATAACCAGAGAGAAGGGAAGGAAAGCAATGAGATTAGTTAGCCCTTTAGTTGGAAAAGGCAATTCCTCCTCTGCCCTAGACTACCTTTGAAGGTGCAATACCAGAAAGACGGAGGGCACTATGAGATAGCCTGATTAATTAGGCAGTTGGAAGGAGGTCGCTAATATAAAAGAAGAGGGAGGTGGGTCGATTCGTTAGCAGCGAACGTGACTTCGCTCGCTCCTTCTTCTCCCCATTGGGTATTCTAATGACCTAGGAGTGGGGGGGGGCGGATAGAGAGAATTCTGGATGGCACAATAAAAATTATTTATGGAGTCGATATTAAGCTTTATCACCCCTTTTTTATATAGTGTACGCAAAGTTGCCATCCCTGAGGAGGATCTACTGTAGGCAATAACACTTATCCGAATACAGTCCTATAGGAAATGGCTTATTGCGACGATTCCTCCTCGGTTTCTCTGCTCCGTTAACTGCGCGAAAAGAGGTTGTGAATCACCAGGAAGATTCTGTGGTTTGGAAACAATACCTTAAGAAAAAAACTTGGAGGGGAAAAATCATCTATCTGCGCAACAGAGCATCCGTCGTACCCACTTATAATCACTACATTAAGTTCCACTTCAGAATTTAAAGAATCTCGAGATTCCGGGTATATATATATATCTGAAGAGAGAGAGAGAGAGAGAAACTTTATTGAAAGTAATGCTGCTCTACTACACAGCGTTGCTTTATACAAAGCATACTGATCGATCCATATGGATATAGCTCTTACATTACATTATTTCATCATTATAGAAACATATCACTTTTTTTCCCTCTCTTTTTTATAACACTGGTCATATACACTCACTATCATTCTTTTTTTGTTTATATTTATCCAGAAACACTACAATTTGTCTTAATTAAGGACATTTATAATAGTGTTCAAAGAGCACATTCACACTCTATTTACAATAAATAATACAGAAACTAATAATAATAAAAGTAAATGAATACACTATCACTAATTTGCCGCATTAAACTATTACCACTATAACACATACAATCATCGAAATAAATACAATTTGTAGAGTAGTTTAGCAGCTTAAACGTCTCCTTTAAAATGGATTTGATAACAAAAAAACACTACTTGCATTAAAGGAAATTTTGAATAATATTCTATAAACGTAGGTTAAATATTTTTATTATTATCGCTTCGCAATTAAGAGAAAAGCTGGCATTTAAAAAAATATATTACTTAGATTATCTGCTTTTTCGCGCCAAATCAGAACGTTTTTTTAGCATATAAAGATATATATATATATATATATATATATAATATATATATATATATATATATATATATATATATATATACAATTGACAGTTTACAGGAAATTATATATACAATTGACAGTGCCAGCGATGTCTACTCATACTCATTGTGTATATATATATATATATGAGAGAGAGAGAGAGAGAGAGAGAGAGAGAGAGAGAGAGAGAGAGAGAGAGAGAGATTTTTTAACTTCCTGACCATCTCAAGAATAAATAATTATATTTTTGCCCATAAGTATAACTGTGGAAGTTACACAACTATAATTAATATATTCGTTGCATAATATTTATTTTTGCATATTTTATTCTCAAGGTCAGCCGGTAGTATTATTAATAAAGATATATTGATAGGTGGCGGTGTTGCTATTTATAAATGAGAATCAGAAAGAAAATTAAATTAATATCATCTGGTAAGGATCTTGGTGAATGCAAGTTGATCGCAATATGTTACAATATCCTGTTATATGTCTCTATATCTAAGTACTCTCACATTCATTTATATTTAGGTATTTTAGTCTCTTTTCCTGGGAAATTTATAAATCTTAGCTTTATTTGTAATTCTGGGGTTCATTATTTTAAAAATAATAAACTGTTTTGAGTAAAACTCGCCTTTTAAGCCTAATCCTTTATTGTCTTTTATTAGCTTCTATAATGTACGAAGTAGCGCCCAATAGTGTTTAGAAGCCATATATCTCATGCCACGATGTATTCAGTCAACACCCCTAGTCCCCACCATACCTCCCAGACGCACTGTTATTTCAAGTTTTTTATTACTTAAATTTTATTGTAGCTTAAATTTATCTGATTTTGTTTCTAAGCAGGTATCCATTTGCACGGAAATTATATATTATTATTATTATTATTATTACGACCACTCCGTCTGCCTTATGGATATTATTTATTTATTAAAAACTTACCTATTTATTACTATTAACCAGCTTGTCTATGGATATCCTCTGATAATGAGAGCTAATATTCAAACTTTATTAAAGTTTAATACACTTCCACCTCGCCTCATAACACTTATAAATATATTAATTAATTTATCTGTATTAAATATATTAATTAATTTATCTGTTTATTAATTTTGCATATAAGCTTTTTAACCACGCCATGTCTTAATAATAATAATAATAATAGGGGTATTCATGCACTTGTTGTAAATGCTTAATGTGCTATCATGCTAAGTACTTAGCACAAATTTTGAATGTATGGTAAACATCATGTCTGTGCTAAAGTGTTATAGTAAGGTTATGCCTGCACTGTAAACAAAGTTTGTGAGTTATTAATTGATCTGCTAACGTTCTGATTTATTTTTAAAATGGCAAAGCGAAGCGAAAAGACTGATTGCTGGATTATTTGGTTGAAAATACTTTATTAGAAAGCATGAAAGAAAATTCAGATGATTCAGAAGGCACAGAACTTGTAGAATACATAGATGAAATCCTAGCTATCTTTACATTCCATTGCTGTGGATGTTGTACACACATCAATTGTACACACTTATTCGATATTCTTATTATTAATTAATTCTTACTGTAAATATATAATTTATTTATGGCCACACTGACGTGCAATCTGTACTTATAATTTGTTCTCAAGAGACAACAGTCTCAGAATAATAAAATATTTTTTAATTTCATTTCATTTCATCAAGACCTTATAATAACCTTCTCTGTACTTTTACGAAGTTAGCAACACTTTACCTGTAAGGTCCTCACCTTAGACTGCGTTAAAATCGAGAGTGCTAGCGGCCATATTTAACACACATTTCGTTAATAATTTTCTCGTCTTTGCACATTTAAGAGGTTTATTATATATAAATATCGTAGCGCAAGCTTTCGACCGGGTGTGGCATGATGGCTTGCTTTTCAAGCTCAAAACTCACCTACCCCAATCCTTGTACCTAGTCCTCAAATCCTACCTCTCAAATCGTTCCTTTCAAGTCCGCTGCGGCACTGAATTCTCCAACTATTATCCAATTGAGGCTGGTGTTCCACAAGGCAGTGTCTTGGGCCCAGTCCTCTTCATCCTCTTCACCGCTGACATTCCAACCAATCCCGATACCCTTCTAGCAACTTCCGCGGACGATACCGCCATCCTGTCATCCCACCTAGATCCTGAAACAGCATCCTTAAATCTACAAATACACATCTCCCTAATTGAGCAATGGTGCAACAATTGGCGCATTAAGATCAATGAATCCAAATTCAAACATGTCACCTTTACCCTCCGACGCAGATCCTGTCCACGTATCCTTTTCAACTCTGTACCTCTCCCCGTCTCAGACACAGTTCGGTATCTTGGATTCCTTTTAGACAAAAGACTAACTTGGAACCCACATACTAGACTTAAAAGACAAGAACTTAACCGACGATTTGGCCAGCTATACAGACTACTTAACAGAAAATCCAATCTATCAATAGAAAACAAACTATTAATATACAAGACCGTACTCAAACCCACCTGGACCTACGGACTTGAACTGTGGGGGACAACTAAATTTTCGAACATCAAACGCATCCAATCCTTTCAGTCTAAAGTCCTCCATATGATAGTCAATGCTCCTTATTACGTCACAAACAAAACCCTACATCATGACCTTTACATCCCTTATATCCTTGACGTTATTCCGTCCCGATTCTCAAATTTTCACATGAACCTAATCCACCATCCTAACCCTTTAGCACAATCCTTATCTAGCTCCAGTCATCGCTACAACCCTCCTAGAAGGTTGAAACGGCAGTGGCCTCGAGATCTCTTGTAAAGACGTCACTGGAGTTCTGGCAATGGCCAGCTTCTCCACTCAAGTCATGAGTGTTTGTGGTTTTAGTGCAATCCCTCAGTCTCCACCGGACTGGTAATGCCGGCGACGCGGTTGAGAGAGAAGCGCTGGGATCTCTTAGAGTCTTGCTTTGTCCTTCACACGTGGGGGAATGGGCTGGACTCGGAGATCTCTTGCCTAATTGTAAATATTGTATTTAAGTATGAATGTTTTCAATTTATTTCTATTACTTATAATTTTATTTAATTTTGCTACGAATATCTGTATTTCATTTAATTTTAACTCTAAGTTACATTTCCTTGGTTTATTATAGTTTTTGCCTTTGTTATATAGATTTTTATATATATTTTTTTTTTTTTTTGTTTTTTTTATGGTATTGTATATATGGTATGAATGTGCCTCACTCAGCCTTAGTACTCAGTGCCCTTAAGTGTGGCAAAATGTATTATTTCTCAATAAACAGATATAAAATAATATATATATACATATATACCTCATCGTGTCCTAATCCCATAGCTGTTGAAATAGCGACTTGTAGTATTAGGCTTTTCCTCAGATTTCTTGTTTCTAACTTTTCCTGTTGGAATCCTACTGTTATCAGCATTAGTAGTGTATTAAAAAAAAAAAAAAAAAAAAAAAAAAAATAGCAAGAACAAGATATATATACATCAAACACAAAAAAATCATGGCCTATTATTCGACTATAATTGATGTCTTAAGTAATAATATATAAAGGTTGAATTATAAAAACATAGTAATTTATATATATATATATATATATATATATATATATATATATATATATATATATATATGAATTAGTAATGTGCAAACTGAGACATTATTATGAGCAGGGAGCAGAGGCCTACTCAACTGAGAACTAAGGACTCCTGGGTAGGAGCCATTCTAGTCCTGCAATTAAACTTCACTCTTGACTTTTTCCAGGACCTCATTAGTCTCCCAGGACTTTCCGGGCTGACGTTTCCACCCCTCCTTCACTCTCTCTCTCTCTCTCTCCTCCCCCTCCTTCCATCGTCCTCTAATAACAAAGGATCAGCTGCCAACAGCCGAAACAGATCTCAGCTCTTGCCTAGTCATCGCTGAGCTCTGTTAATTAAATTTTGCTTCTCGTTGTTAATTAAAATATGCAAATTTTCGACTTTAACAATATAAACATCCCGTCGTTGACCAGGTCATGAAAATGGTCAGTGTTCGTAATTTACCAGTGAAGCACGATTTTTATTAAATGGACCTTGCGAACTTGGAAATACCATTGAGACTATGGTGGAAAAGACCTCTAAAGTAAAATCTTTAAAATCCAAAAATTAATCTGTATTATTAATAAGCTTTAGTGTAAAGGTGCAAATTCATTTAATTAAGAAAAATGAAAAAAATATATATATATTTTTCGTTAAAATATGTTCTTCTTTTTTTTTTTTTTTTTTTTTTTTTTTTTTTTTTTTTTGTTATAAATATACATGATGTCTAATGTTCTTAAAGACCAAACTCTGAGGAGTGATTCTAGACAAAATTTTCAACAAAAAAGTTGATTAGATATATGGGCCAATTCCGAACAGAAAAGGAATTAAGAACAATTTTGTGTTATTCTTAAGGTGGTCACGATTTTTATTGAGTAAGAAGGAATTTCTATTAAAAGAAATTAATAAAAAAAAATGTTTAAAATGATTAAATTTTAAGTACCCTATTGTAAAGTAGATAACATTTTTTTGAGAAAATAGTGGTTAAATTTATAAGGTCAATGATAAAAGGAATTTATCACTCCTTATGATCACTGCCTTCAACATTTCCCAGACATTAATTAATTATATTAATTTTAATTATTAAATGGAATTCAATGAAATTGATCCTAAGTTATTTCTATAATGTTCTCCGAATTTCCTCTAAGTTTGTGTCAAATCAAATGCGTCGTTTTCAAAATATAGGCATATCAAATAACAAAGCGTCTGATCTGAAAACGAAAGTTTTTTTTTTTTTTGGAGTAGTAGATAGAATTTGATAAAATTGATGCCTATTTCATTTTACCTAAATTCCCTCCAAATTTGAGCCAAATCGAACTTCCGGATTTATACATGTATGTAGACGTATCAAGGAAAACACGTTTTCGCATATATAGTAGGTGATATCCCCGTCACATCGATTTGACTACAGACAGACAGGCAGTCAGAAAAACACCGAACCAAATTTGATTCTTAATGTCTGAAATGTAAAACGCGAGTGGAAATTTTCGATTCTGAGCACAATTGTTTTTTTAACCTCTCGCCCTTATCACGAATATATCCTATCACAACACAAATCCCCATTAAATCTTCCGTTTTCTTTCTTCGAATTCAATGCTGCCCTCAAGTCATGCAAAGAATGTTCCCCAGGCCCTGACGATCTAACATACTCCATGATTAAAAATTTATCTTACATAAATAAAATTAGTGTACATAATTTTTTTAATAAAGCATTTAAATTAGGCTTTTTCCCAGACGACTGGTGTAGGGCTTACATCGTTCCTATTTTAAAAAAAGGGAAACCAAAAGAACTTTTATCTACTTACAGACCGATCGCTTTGACTAGCTGTCTATGCAAACTCTTTGAAAAAATGGTTGCCTTTCAACTAAAATGGTATCTCGAAAGTAAACATCTGTTAAATATTTGGCAAAGTGGATTTCGTGCTGGTCGCAGTGCTGTAGACAATATAATAAAATTAGAAACAGAAATATTAAATGCGAGAAATTCCAAAAACCACCTTTTAGCAATATTCTTAGACATCGAAAATGCCTTTAATTCCGTTAGGAGCAATGACATTATTAAAGCATTACTTAATATGGGAATAAACGGTGAAATCCTAAGATTCATAAAAAAATTTCTAAGTAATCGTAAATTTAAAGTGAAGTGTAATACAGCAATATCTACAGTTTTTGAACAACAAAACGGAGTACCACAAGGTAGTGTGCTTAGCCCCATATTATTTAATGTGGTCATAAATAAAATTGCAGAAGAAGTTAAATTACCAGTAAAAATTCTACTTTACGCAGATGCTTCTCTACCTTCGGTAGTGAGGTAGAAAAAAAAATGCATGCTTCATTTCATTCTTTGTCTCTAAAGATACTATTAGAATGAATTCCTATCACTTCTTGACGAAATATTCTTTTCTGAATTTTTTCTTGAGCTATATCATTTAAAATTCTTGCAATAAACTATTCTTCTCATTACTTGTTAAACTAGGTTATTTAAAATATATTTTAGATCCGTTACCCAAATCAGGAACTACTTTTTTGAAGTTATCAATTAGAGCATCTCTTTCCCTCGGATCTGTTACCACTTCCTTCACGATTGCTGTATACAGTAGTCCGTACAATCGGAAAAGAAAAATTATCCATTGTTATCAACTGCCATACAGTTAACAAATTGCAGACAATGAAGACTTTAGAAGAACTTTTACTTACAATGACAAATTGATATGAAGCCATCTAGACACCAACACGCACAATTCCTGAAAATTTTATGAAAATCGGATGAACGGTAGTAGATGATATGCCCGTTACATCGATTTGGCTACAGATAGACAGACAGACACCGAACCAAATTTGATCCTTGATGTCTCAAACGTAAAACGCCTGTGGAAATTTTCGACTCCGAGCACAATTTTTTTTTTTAACCTCGCACTAATACAATGCTTCCTTGTCTTCGGTAGTGAGGAAGCAATATTGTATATCCACATTGCTGCGTAATTAATAAATAAATAAAAGAAAACAAGATCCCGTGTTTCCGACCTTTATATTCCTTCTCATAGAACTAAGACGTTTGAATATTCTTTTATTGCCCGATCCACTGCCTCCTGGAATTCCTTGTCATCTGATATCCACCATGCCTCTTCCTTGTCCTCATTTAAATATAATCTTTACCAATTCCTTCTCACATCCCAAAATGACGTTATACAATGAAATAAATATTGCGAAACAGATTTTGACTGAGGTGAATGGTTGTTAAAATTGATAGAGTTTTCAATTTGAAAATCAACCCATGTTTATTTTATTTTATTTTAAATAATTTTTTTTTTTTTCAAAATGGTGTTATTTTTACTTGTTTTAACATAATTTTACTGAAGATACTGTATATATTCTTTAATATTGACTAATGTAATTTTTGGCCAGATGTAGTTTTTATTTTTTGTTCATATCTGTTATTCATAAGGGACCTTGTCCCAGAATAAAGTTTACTTTCTATCTATCTATCTATCTAATTAAATATATTGTAATTATATATGCTATGATAGTTAACTAGAAACATATTTATATTAGAAACATCTGCTTTATTTTTTCTGTTAAACCAGACCGGCCCAGAGCAACGCGTGACCGGGTACAGCTAATGATAAATATTTTTAGAGCAAGAATGAACGGTCATAAGGCCCAATGAGTCAGGGTACCAGCGATGATGGAGACCCCCAAATGCCAGGTTGCTTTCGATACTTTCAAGAAACTATCGACTTAAAGAGGGGTCGATGTATTTATTAAAATGAGCGGATAAGAGAGGCGCAATTACACTATCTACGATCAGGTGATGGGAGTTGACAGATAAGAGCTCACTATATCACTCAGATAATTACAGGCCAGAGCGACGAGGTGGTTGGTGGTTGCGGTGGTGGATGGTAGGGCTAACCCATGGTGCCCGTCCTATGCTAATACCTCATTGTACCAGAGTCCTTTCAACCGTTCTCTTCCACCACTGCCATTAGAATACATTTACATATCACCATCTTCCATCCTCGGTAATTTATGCCCTTTTGTCGTAGGACATTGTCTTCCATGCTGACGTTGCACCGTATTCTTCCCTAAATGCTATATTAAGAAGAGCTCGGTAGACCCGTTTCGTCCTCTGATATTCTGACATGAACTATGAGACGTTTCTAATCAACAGACATAATTCTATTTATCAATACGCTCGATTGAAGTTTTGATAGGGATCTTCTCCGATGGTTCGAGCTCTTATATTTTGTTCACGAAATATCATATTTTTTTTCTCTTATATTTATTCTGTGTCATTAGGGAGGTAATTCGTACCGAAAAAGGATTGGAGGATGTGGAAACTATAAAACTAAATACGACAACGTGTTAATGCAAGTCGGTAAAGAACTAGGGCTCGAAATAAACGCGGATAAAACAAAATCTGTGGTCAGCTACAAAAATGGCGATATTATGGTGATATGGATATAGATGGTAATATGTTTGAACAGGCAGAGAAGTTTAGGTATCTAGGTTCTACGCTAACTAGAAAAAACGAAGTTGAAGAAGAGATTAAGGTTAAACTGGTGGCGGGAAATGCTTGTTATTTTTCTGTAACAAAACTACTTAGCTCGCTCCTTTTGTCCCGGAACTTAAAAATTACAATGTACAAAACCATTATCTTGCCTACAGTTCTTCATGGATACAAAACTTGGCCGCTTACACTAAGGCATGATCAGCGTCTTAAGGTATAAAATAAAGTATTGCGTAGAATATTCGGACCGAAGAAGGATGAGTTAACCGGAGAGTTCAGACGGTTACACAACGCCGAATTGCGTGAACGGTATCCGGATAATATAATTAAGGTAATTTCATCGCGGCGAATCAAATGGGCTTGTAAAATTGTTAAGGTTAGTAACGAGAGAATTACTAAAACGTTGATATTTGCTGTACCGAATGGTTAAACGTCCGAGGTGTAGACCAAAGTGAAGGTGTGGATTGAAACATCTCACAAACTAAAAATCGGATCTTCATATTGTAAGCGGGAGAAATGTTCAACATATCATCCTCTTTATAATGAGCTATTATCTATAATTTATATTTCATGTTATTTATCTCGTCTTGATGTTTTCATCTTACGTCTTACTGTTTTTGCTTTACTACCTATACTAGGAAAGGAAAGTATTACATTCGGGTCAAATTTCCGTTATGCGGTTTTCAAAGGATCTATACGTTTCAGAGCTCCCTGAGTCCGAAAAACACGCCCTTTAACCTGTTTTTCTTTTAAAGGTAATGAAATTTCCCACAAAACTATATAAAAGCGTTCATTTTGGACAACTATTAACGAAGTTACAGCTATTCAATTTCCAATGTAAGATTAGGAGGTGTCATATCCTGGTGTCAGAAAGGGGTGAAT